CCAAGCCCAGAAAAAACACTGCTACCTAAGTTACTTGTAAAGAATATTATTGATTTATTAAATTTACAAGATATTCCTTTTGAGTCAGTAAGAATACCTTCATCTAATATTTGTAAGAATATAGAAAATATATCTTTATTAGCTTTTTCAATTTCATCAAATAGTATAACAGAATTAGGTGTAGAATTTATTTTATTTATTAAATTACCTCCTTCTTCGTGTCCTACATATCCTGGAGGCGATCCTATAAGTCTAGATAAAGAATGTTTTTCTTTGTACTCACTCATATCAAACTGTATTAAGTTACGCTGACTTTTATATAAATAATTTGTTATAAGTTTTACTATTTCTGTTTTACCAGAACCGCTAGGACCACATAATAAAAAACTACCTAAAGGTTTAATAGAATAGCCTTTATTAAAATTTGATAAATATGTAGTAAACTTTTTTAATATAACAGATTGACCAAATATAAATTTATGTATTAAATTATTAAAATTATATAATAATGACGATTTAAATAAATTATCTTTATCTATAATTTTAGTAAACAATTCTTTTAAACTATTTTTATTTAATTGAGAAAATATATTGCAAACATATTCTTTTTCTTTAACACTATAAGTTTTATAGATAAAATTATATAATATAAATAAACTATATATTGTATAATTAATATTATACAATTTACATGTTTTTAAATAAAATATATGCTTTATGCTGTTCTTGTTTATATTTTTAATAAAATCAAACAATATAGCTTTATCTATTATTTTATTATTATATATATTGAATTTTATATTTTTAGTGTCTGTTTTTAATTTTTTATTTGTCTTAAAGTGTCCTACAGTATTATTTTTATCAGTGTTTATACTTGTTTTATTGTTAAATAATTTATATATATATAGTACAAGTTTTTTATTATTTGATAAATATATTAAATTTTTTTTTGTTAAATACGAGCTTTTTATAAAAGAATTAAATATTCTATCAAATAATGACGAATATAACTTATATGAAAATTTTAAAACTATAAAGCCTAATTTATTTAATTTATTAAATATATATATATAAGAATACAAATTTTTATTGTGTTTTTCATGATTATAAAGTATTTTAGGCTTTAAATGCACAGGCATATATATATTAGAATATTTACATATATATTTAATTTTATCTAAATAACTTACAACTTTATTATGTAGCTTTTCTTGCAAATACTCTATATTAAAAATCGACTTATTATATATAGAAGAAAACATTAATGGTGTTGTATATTATAAATAGCAAACAGTTTCTATAATATCTAAGTTATAAAAATCTAAAGTTTTATGAAAGAAATTATAAATTGTTTTATCTTCTATATATGAGTATAGTGTAAATAAAGTATATTCATCAATAATATGAAATACAATATTAGAATAACTAAATAAATAAAGAATTAAATTTTGTATTATAATAAATTTATTATTTTCTATATAGCTTTTTACTATTTGTTTTTTAGTCATATTTATGTACGCTTTGTCTATTTCTTTACATATAGACATGCTAAACCAAAATATGAATTCCAGAATTTTAGGAATTTTAGTGCTTATATATCCTATTATAGCACATATAATAATTAAATAATTAAACATTTTTATAATAAAATTTGTATGTATTGTATTGATTTTAGTAAGTGTAGGATAATATTTGTTTTTTAATGTTTAATATTTGTAGTAATTGTTCTTTACAAGTATTATTTTTATTTAATTAATTTTATAAATAGCAAACAGTTTCTATAATATCTAAGTTATAAAAATCTAAAGTTTTATGAAAGAAATTATAAATTGTTTTATCTTCTATATATGAGTATAGTGTAAATAAAGTATATTCATCAATAATATGAAATACAATATTAGAATAACTAAATAAATAAAGAATTAAATTTTGTATTATAATAAATTTATTATTTTCTATATAGCTTTTTACTATTTGTTTTTTAGTCATATTTATGTACGCTTTGTCTATTTCTTTACATATAGACATGCTAAACCAAAATATGAATTCCAGAATTTTAGGAATTTTAGTGCTTATATATCCTATTATAACACATATAATAATTAAATAATTAAACATTTTTATAATAAAATTTGTATGTATTGTATTGATTTTAGTAAGTGTAGGAATAATATTTGTTTTTTAATGTTTAATATTTGTAGTAATTGTTCTTTACAAGTATTATTTTTATTTAATTAATTTTATAAATAGCAAACAGTTTCTATAATATCTAAGTTATAAAAATCTAAAGTTTTATGAAAGAAATTATAAATTGTTTTATCTTCTATATATGAGTATAGTGTAAATAAAGTATATTCATCAATAATATGAAATACAATATTAGAATAACTAAATAAATAAAGAATTAAATTTTGTATTATAATAAATTTATTATTTTCTATATAGCTTTTTACTATTTGTTTTTTATTTATATTTTTGCAGGCTTCATCTATCATTTTACAAATAGACATAGCAAACCAAAATATAAATTCTAAAGAAGATATTATAATATTTATAATATAATTTTCTATTTCGTTTATTATATAAGTTATCATTTTAATACATATATTATTATAATTGACCTAAAATTGCCGCTTTAACTACACCTAAAAAATTTGCAATAAAAGTAGCACTAAGATCTTCATAAGACATATTAATAAGTCTTATAAAAGTGAAAGCTTGTAAAATGTACCAATAAGCGCTTGAAGGACTAATTAATACTAATAAAACATTTTGAATTATAAGGTCTTGATTTTCCATAAAATAATTGAAAAGTTTTTGAGCTGTAGTCTCTTTTTTGTATTTTTTAATTATAGTTTTTATATTTTTATGTGTATACATTATAATAAATAACACTAGATAAAATAAAGCGTCTAATTGTATTTTTATTAAACGTTTTATTAATCTATATAATAGGTAAAGTCTTCCTATGTGTTTTTTTGAAGTAGTATTTAACATGGCGATGCAATTGATATAAAATAGTGATATATGTTGTCTAAACTGTTATACATTTCAATGTTATTGAAAACAGCGTAAGACACTGGAAGGGAAATAAATGAAACGAAAAAAAATGCAAAGAAAAAAGTATATTGATTAGCTACATTTTTTTTATGTTCTAATTTTAAGAAATGTTTTAAACATAATGAATAATAATTTGGTGAATATCTGCAAAGATATATGAAATGGAACTCGTTATATTTATAATAATATTTGTATATAAAATACTCTATATAGAATAGTACGCATTCTACAAACTTTAATATATCAAATTCTATTATTTTTTGTAATTTTTTTATAATTTCTGTTATTATATAGTTTATTAATGTTAAAATATTAAATAGTGTAAATATTTTACTAAATTTTATAGATTTATAAACAGAAACTATAGCGTTTATAAGATCTTTTGTTTCATAAGGATATATTTTTAAAGATGCTGTTACTAAGTCGTAATGTGCATATGTATTATAAATATATTTTATATAATTTTTTATAGGGTTTACTTTTTGTTCTCTATATGGGATTGTTATTATAGTAGTCATTAATTTTTATTTTATTAATTCAGTTATTATACCTGCCCCTATAGTTTTACCTCCTTCTCTTATAGCAAATCTAACTTCAGTTTCTAAAGCTATAGATTTTTCTAAAATTACGTCAACTAAAACGTTATCTCCAGGTATAGCTAAATCTGTGCTTATATTGTTTATAGAGGAATATATACTAACTACAGTACCTGTTATATTTGAAGTTCTTATGAAAAATTGAGGTTTATACCCTAGAGTAAAAGCTGTATGTCTACCTCCTTCTGCTTTAGTAAGAACGTATAAATTAGCTTTGAACTCTTTGTATAATTTAACAGATTCTGGAACTGCTAAAATATGTCCTCTTTTTATATCTGTTTTAGTTATTCCACGTAATAATATACCTACATTATCACCAGATTCTCCTTTATTTAACGATTTGTTAAACATTTCTATATTTAAAACAGATGTTATTTTAGAAGAATCATTACCTAATAATTCTAATTTGTCACCTATTTTTACATTTCCTCTTTCAATTTTACCTGTAGCTACTATCCCTCTACCTGTTATAGAGAAACTATCTTCTATAGGCATTAAGAAAGGTTTTACAAGGTCTCTGTCTGGTGTTGGTATATATTTATCTATGCAATCTACTAGATTTAATATTTTTTGTATCCATACGTTTTCAAAATCTATTTTATTTGAATTTTTAACTATATTTAAAGCTTCTAATGCTGATCCAGAAATAAAATGAACACAATCTTCTTTAAAATTGTATTTATTTAATATATCTATAACCTCTTCTTCTACAAAATTTATAAGTTCTTTATCTATTATTTTATCTTCTTTATTTAAAAATATTATAACATTTTCTATACCTATCTGTTTTATAAGTAATAAATGTTCTATTGTTTGTGGCATTGGCCCGTCGGTCAATGAAATAACTAATATAGCTCCGTCCATTTGAACAGCACCAGTAATCATATTTTTTATATAATCTGCGTGTCCTGGACAATCTATATGAGCGTAGTGTCTTAAGTTGCTTTCGTACTCAACATGCTTAGTATTTATAGTTATACCCCTGCTTTTTTCTTCTGGGGCAGAATCTATTTCTTCATAAGAATGTGCTTTTTTAGCTAGTCCTTTAGCCTTAAGAACACTTGTTAAAGCTGATGTTAATGTTGTTTTTCCATGGTCTATATGTCCTATAGTACCTATATTTATATGTGGTTTATTTTTTATATATTGTTCTTTTATCATTATTAACTCAACCTTATATACCAACTAAAAGACTGGGTACTTTTATTTAAAAATTTGGAATTTTTTATTTTTGTTAAATTAAGTTGGTACACATATTAGAGAAAAAGGACTTTAACCTTTATTTAAGATATCAAAAATCTTTATCTTTTCTTTTAAATGATTCTCTAACTACATATTAATTTAAAGAGAGTAAGGGAGTCAAACCCTTAAAAATTTAATCTCAAATTAAGCGCATTAGTCTTTCTGCCAACTCTCTTCAAAGATGTAAAAAGTATGACAATCAAAATAATTGGACTTAAACCAATATCTTTCATCCCCAAAACGAATATGTTATATTACACTATATTCTGATATAAATCATATAATAAGATAGGTTTATTATATTAGTTATTTCAAAGTCTCCTTAAAATAGACTCGAACTATTATTACATCGATTAACAATCGATTGCTTTTCCTATTAAGCTATTAAGGACGTATTTAAATTATTTACTATGTTTTAAAAAATAATATAACCATTTACGTCTATTTTTTAATTTAACTTGTTTTATTATACCCATAAAAGATAGTGTTTCTATAGTATATATTAAACAGAAACTATATAAAGTAGGTAATACAGCACATGGTAAAAATGTATATACAGCACAAATTTGAACTATACTATAAAGAAGTCCATATCCTGTATTAATAAATTTTTGTTTTTTAGCTTCTTTATTGTGTTTGTCTAAATAAATATTTATGTTGTTTTGTATGTACATTAATAAGTATATAATTGTATTTACTATTATATCCACTATACTTTTTATGTATATGGCTATTATATTTATAAAATTTCTTACTGTTTTCATTATGTTATTTTACCATATTTTAAAAAATGATACAACCATTTACGTCTATTTTTTAATTTAACTTGTTTAATTACGCCCATGAAAGATAATGTTTCTAAAGTATATATTAAACAAAAACTATAAAGAGCAGACATACCAGCACAAGGAAGAAACGCATATACAGCACAAATTTGAACTATACTATAAATAAGTCCATATCCTGTATTAATAAATTTTTGTTTTTTAGCCTCTTTATTGTGCTTATTTAAATAAATGTTTATATTGTTTTGTATATATATTAATAAGTATATAATTGTATTTACTATTATATCTACTATATTTTTTATGCATATAGCTATTATATTTATAAAATTTTTTATTGTTATCATTTTTTGTTTATTTTTATTATTTTTTTGTTTTTATTATTAGTATAATATACATTATTTAATTTAATGTTATCGAACATTTTAATAGAATAATTGTATCTTTTTAAATATTTTAATTTATTAGAAAAGTATATTGGTCCTGTATTAGCTATATTAGCTTTATTATTGCTCATATATTTGCTAATTTGTATGTTAGAACTAGTGTCCATAAACACATCAATAACATCTTCTTTATATTCTATTAAACTACTTTTAGAATTTAAAATTTTTTGAATCTCTCCCAAAAAATTATATATAAAAGGAAATTTTTTATGCCCTCTAACGTTTTTTATAAAAGGAGAAAATACAAATTTTTTTATATATTTTAATAACGACGTAACTAAAAAATAATATTTAGTTTCGTGCGATTGAGTTTTTATCATTACCATTGGTAAAAATAATTTATATATAATGTATTCTAATGTAGATATAAAATTACTGTCGTGCATAACTTTAGAATTTATGCTATTACTTATATTTACCATTAATTTTCTTGCTTTATCAGATTTACCTCTATTTTGTATAAATCTAGAAAATAAATTTAACAATAATTCTTTGTTAAATTTTATATTTTTATTTAAATTTGTCATTTTTTTTCTTTTTAGATTCTTTTTTTTTAATGTCTTTAACACCGTATTTAGATCTTTTATTAGAACGTGTTATTTTTTGAACGTCTAATTTACCTACTATAACTTTATATTTAACCATAGGCAAGTCTGGAACGTTACCACCTTTTACTAAAACTCTACTATTTTTTGGCACTAACATATTTTCTCCAGGCACATACACAAGAACTTTTTTATTATTAAGTGTTACCTTAACAACTTTTCTCATAGCAGAGTTAGGTTTTTTTGGTGACATAATTATGAAAGCGTCACATTTACATTTTTTTTGTGGGTTTTTTCCAAGTGCTCTACTTTTACTTATTTTTTCTTTTTTAATTCTTTTTTTATTTATTAATTGGTTTATAGTTATCATTTTTATTTAAATTTACGCTTTTTTAGTCTACATCCGTTATAAGGGTAGTTTAGTATATGTGTAATTGTACATATACTTATACCTTTTAAAGAATGGAATTTAATAAAAAGTAATAGTAAAGTTTTTTTATAATAAGACTGATTTTTAAATACAATATGAATATTATTATTCTCATTATAAACTAAAAATATTATAAATTTATTAAGCAGTTTATTTAAAGTTAATAAAGATAGTTTTTTAGTTTTATTATATGAAGAAGATTGTTTTTTTTTGAACTGACCACATGAAAGTGATTTTAGTATAGTTATAAATATGAATGAATTACCATACTTTTTAAATTCAGAAACAGTTATAAAAATGTTATTAAATTTAAATAAAATTGATGATACTATTAGTTTAGAACTCATATTTGATATAGTTCTTTCGTCTATAGTATAATGTAATTTATGTTTCATTTTTGTCTGTATTTATGTCTGGAATTTGAACAAATATTTATCAATCTTTTATTTCTTCTTATAATTTTACAATTATTGCAAATTTTTGTTATAGATGTTTTTATTTTCATTTATAATTATTATTTTAATTTAGTGATCTTTATTTTTGTGTATAGATCACTTCTTTTTTTAAATGTATTAATATTAAAAGTTATATGTTTAAACCCGTTACTAAAATTAGTAAAATCTTTATAGGTTAGTTTTTTATAATTTTTGTATATAGATAAATTTATTAAGGATATAAGTATGTTGTTTTTATATAAATTTATACCATAAAGCTTTAATAAAGAAATGTACGTAAGCTTATTATACTTTAGTAGTATATTATTTGATATAAATAAATTAGATAATGCTTTTATCATTTTTAACTTGCATAATGTAATATTGCTTTTAACAGTACTTTAGTTTTACCGCTAGTGTGTGTTATTAATTTATATTTTTTTACACCCGATAATAGAACTATATTATTATAAATATCTAGATTATATTTATTTGTAGATTTATTCAACATAGAAAATTTATAATTTTTATATTTAAATACTTTATAGTCGTTTGTTTTAAAATTTAAATTATATATATGTTGACTAGATTTTATAGAGGCTTGATTACATGCATTTTTATAAGACGCATTTTTATTTGCACCAACACCTATCCAAGACTTATTATACCCACTACCTATAATTATATCGTATTTCATGCTTTTTTTTTGTTTTTTTTTTACAAAAATTTTATTATAATATAAAACAACGGTATTAAAAGAATTGTTTTTTGTTATAAAAGACTGTTTCATATATTTAGTAGTATATAAATAGTCATAAACAAATCTAGAAAGATAAGAATATGTATAAGAATAAAAACAGTTTAATAAACTAAGTTTATACTTAAATTTAAATTTTTTTACACGTTTACCATACTGATTTTTGATCTTTTTTATCCTTTTATCTATATAAAAAGGAGTTTTATAATATAAAGAACCAAGATTAAAATTTGCTATATCGTAATCGTCTTCTATAATTTCTTCGATCATTTTATTTTTTTCTTAATTTCAATGTTTTTTTAAGCATAATATTTTGATTTAAATATTTTATACCTGTATTTGTATATACGTTAAATTTTTTTAGATGTACTATAATAGAAGCTAAATTACTTATAAATTCTTTGTTGTAAGAAAATATAGTTATAAGTATAGTATTACTTTGACGCTGTATATTTAATTTAATATTATTTAGTTCAGGTACATACACAACTATATTTATAAAGTTATTAATTTTTATTATAAGCTTTGTATCTATTAAAATAACTTTATAAAAAATATTTAAAATTTGTATTTCTATTTTGTGTAAATAAACCATAGAATCTATAATATTATATAGTTTAGAAATAAATGTTTTTATAAAAGATAAAAATTTGTTATTACTATAATAGAATATAGGTTTTGATTTTATAATTTTTATAAAAATATTGTTTATAAGTAGTATATTTTTTATAGACTTAAATGTATTATCACATGTAGATATATATGTATATTTTGTATATTTATCTACTATATATAAATTATTAAATTTATTAAAGTGTTTATTTATATAATTTTTTAAAAATCTCATTTTAAGATATATAACATAAAAGAACCCCTCCTATACCTAATAATTCAGCTTTTTTGTTAGTTATTATACCTATAGTAGTGGATAATAATAGTATACCAGATTTTAAATTTTTATTTATATATTTTAATTCTCTATATTTAATATAAATATAATTTGAAATTTTGTAGAAATTTTTTATATAATAAATATTGTCGTCAGAAACAAATTTGTATATAATGTTATTAGTTTTTAAAATTTTATAAGATTTTATATAGTTCAATAATACACATTTTTCGTATATTGATTTTTTTAGTTTTATATTGTTTATATTAAGCATTTTTATCTTGTAGATATTTTAAAATTTAATGTATTTAATAAATAGTTAAGTTTAACTATATTATCTATATATTTATTAAATACTATTTTAATGTTAAATTTATACGAATAACGAGCATTAACATTAAAATATTCGAAAAAATAAGATTTATTACTAAAACATACATCTAAATTAAAATTAGAATCTAAATTGTACATATTTTTATTAAAAATAGAAGTACTGTATAATTTTACTAAACTAAATTCTTTAAATTTATATAAAAAATAATTTAAATTTTTATCTATTAGTGTAGTTTTTGCCCCTATTACTTCTTTTTTTTTGTTAAATATGTAAAAAGGAAATTGTCTAGTTATAGCACATACAGACAATGTGACATCAGATAAAAAATTTTCTGTTTTATAACTTACATTATTGTATAAATAATTATAAATAATTATTTTGCTTATTATATTATTTCTAACCATTTTATAAAAATTATTATATAAATATAGCTTTTTTTAAATTTAATTTATATTTAGATAGCCTATCCATAATTAATGAAGGTATAATACCGACAAGTTTTATTTTAGAAGTGTCCTTTAATTGGTATTTGTCATCACTGATATTAGAGTTTCTTTTATTTAGTAGAATCAAAGAATTATTGTGGAATTTAATACTTTTATATTTCTTAAAATTATATAATTTAGTATGTGCTACTAAAGCTCTAATTATATCGGATTTTTTAACAAATTTGGATTTTTTTTTACAAGATTTAACAACAGCAACACAAATATTATTAATACTTAAATTTTTAATATTATTTATACTTCCTAAACATTTAGCTTTTTTAAACCCACTATTATCAGAAGGACTAAAAACAGTATTAAAATTGATCATATTTATTATTAATTGTATTTAATTTATTTTTTATTATCTTATCGTTGAAGTAAAACTCATTACGATTGTCTTGTAGTTTAACATATTTATTAGTTTTTAAAATTTTTTTATATTTTTTATGTTGTTTATACTTTATATTATAGCATTTTAAAGATTTAGAGTATAATTTAGTTACTATATATATCATTTTTGTAAATTATCTTTAATTGAATTGGTAATTTATCTTTAACCAATTTAAAAGTTTTTAAAACTAAATGTTTAGAAATTTCTGTAGCTTCAAATATAATATCTCCAGGTCTAAGAACAAATACCCATTTATAAGGCTTACCTTTACCAGCTCCCATTCTTGAATCTTTTGGTCTATGTGTTATTATATGGTCAGGTAAAATTTTTATCCAAAGTTTACCTATATGTTTTATTGTTTTAGACATAACACATCTAGCTGTTTCTAATTGATTTGGAGTTATAACACCTTCTTTACAGGCTATAATACCCCAATCACCGTAACTAAGAGAATTATTTCTATGTATGTTTTTTAAACTTATACTATGGTTATTGTAGTGTTTTTTATTAGTTATATGTGGTAGATTAACCATTATGTTAAAACACTAACCAGCATTTTATACCTACAATTCCTTTATATGTTTTTATATAATCACTTATATAGTCCATATAAACACTTGTAGAAGTTATAGGAACGCTACCTACAGTATAATTAAATATTTTTTTCTTACTACCTCCTTTGTTTAAACATCCAGAGTACACAATTTTTATACTTTTTAATGTAGAACTAGACTTATTAAATCTATTACTTAATACTGTACTACAAAATTGAGCTATTTTAATATAATAATTAGAATATTTAGATATATAATGTTTTAAATTTTTCATTATATAAAATTTATTAATATATAGATTTTTTGTATAAGATATATATGCCCATATAAATATTTTATTATATATATATAAGTTATATGTTATAAAATAATTTATATAAGTTATAAGTTTTTGCAGCATATGATAATTATTTAATATATCTTTTTTATCGCTTATTTTACAACAATTTATATCTACACATAAATTATGATAATCTATATAATCACATGTAAAATATAAAAATTTCTTTTTAACGTTTTGTCCAGCTAATTTCTTTTTATATAAATGTAAAGTATTTAACAATAATTGAAAAAATTTAAAATAATTAAAATTATTTAAATTTTTATTAAGTTTAATATGTGTTCTATTTATATAACTAGAAAATATATTAGGTCTAAATAGTACAGGAGAAATGGATTTTGTCATTTTAATTTAATTTTTTAGTAGGTATAAAAAATCTGTATTTAATATTAAATTTCAATGAATTTATTTTTAAAGGAACGAATCTTTTACCGTTATAAATTTTAATAACAGTATCATTAAATAGCGAAGAAATTTTTATATTACGATTATAAGTTTTTATTATAAAATGTTTTTTAGAATTTTTATGTTTTAATTTTCTATAAATATCTTTTGATATAAATATTTTTTTCCAAGTTGTATATAATGACATTTTATTTATGAACGGTTTTTATACCTTTACATTTTCTACCTTTAAAAGAGTATATAGTTTTTCTACCTATAGGGGCTTTTCCTTCTCCTCCCCCGTGAGGGTGGTCACATGCATTCATAGCTGATCCTCTAACTTTAGGACGATTACCAATTAGTGATAAATATCCTGCTTTTTTGTATTTAGGTAAGTCTGCTTTATCTGCAAAGAGATAAGACGCACAAGAAGACCCTATTAAATATTTAACTTTATTTGACGGCAGCTTTAATGTTACAAATTTAGACGATTTTATAATTACAGTAGAAAAAGAACGAGCAGATGTGCATAATTTAGAACATGTATACACATTATAGTCTATATTGTATATTTTATTACCTATAAAAAAGTTTATTAATAAGTCAACGTCCCCTTCTGTTTTTATACCTTTATTATAAAATTTAACGAAGTTACCGTGTTGTTTTTTATAAGGTTTTAATATGTACCTATACTCTCCTTTAAGTTCTCCTCTTATGCACAGACTTAATATAAGTTTAGTGTTTCTAAAAGTTTTATTTTCTTCTGTATTAAAAAGAATAAAATATAAATTTTCACTATAAAAGTGGTTAAAATAGTTTATATCTATAGGAATGTAAGAGCTATTACCGCTTTTTTTATGTCTAGTTATTATACGGCCTTTGTTGCTTTTACCAAGTTTAGAGTTATAATTAAATTTAAATAATATCATTTTTTTAATATATTAAATTTATATTAGTATTATTTTTTTTATATAGTAAGTTTCTGTCGTTGTTTATGTAAGATAAATAGTTTAAATTATTCAGAATAAGTTTAGTATAATTAGAATTTAAACTATTTATGTAGTATAAAAATTTAACACATTCTAGATTAGTTGTTATAATGTTGCTTCTAAAATTAAACAGCATAGAAAGTAATAATAGTTTGTAATCAGAAGTATAATTTTTTAAACGAAGATTACGTAACCCAAACCAAATTAGCCCTTTTCTAGATGTGTGAGATGTTGAATGAACTGTTTTAGATTTTTTATTTCTGCTTTTAGTAGAATTTAATTTGTTTTTTAAATTGAATAATTTTTTTTTTAATATATTTTTTAAATAAAGTAGTATGCTTTTATATGTTAAATTATTTTTATTTAAATTATACATTAGTATATTAGATGTATAATTTAAATAGTTTAAATTTAAATGAAAATTAAGTTTTAATAATATATTAATCATTTTGTATATTATATAATATTGTTTTGTGCACAGATTAAAGTGCGAAAAGTTTTATTGAATTTAGATTACCAAAGATTCGAACTCAGAACAAATCGCTTAAAAAGCGAGTACTTTACCTATTAAGCTAGTAATCTAATAAATATATAAATAAAATACAAAAACTTAAAGCTATACTCAAATTTTAACTGAGATATTATAATCTGCAATTATATATTTTAAATTAAATTATATAGCCTGAATAATGCTATATAAGTAAGATCAGATTCGAACTGATGTAGAATTTAATATCAATAGATCTACAATCTATTCCTTTTATCCGCTTAGGTACTTACTTAATAAACAAATATACTCTAAAGGAAATTCTAATTCCTATTTTTTTCTTGAAAAGAAAATGTCTTAACGTTGAACGATTAGAGCGTATAAACCATTTTCGAAATTAATGAGATTCAAACTCATATTTTTATAACGACAATATAATATTTTATTCGTTAAATTATAATTCCTAAAACTGGTGTAGAAATGAAGGGAATCGAACCCTTATTATTTATAAAATAAATGGATTTTCTAGTTTTAATATTGTTTTTAAAAAATATATTTATTTTTGAAAATTATTAGACTTTTTCTTTATTTTAGTTTTTATAATTTTAATTAAAGTCGTTTGAATTTTATTTTAAAATTTCAGAAAAATAATTCTTATTATTAAAATTTTCTTTTAGTTGTGCTTTTTATATAAGTCCATTGTGTTTACCGTTTCACCACATTTCTGTTTGGTTTTATAAAAGAAAGAAAGGGAATTGAACCCTTGAATAATAAATTAGCAATTTACATCTTTAACCACTCAGACATCTTTCTATAAATAGTTATAAATTTAAGGTAAACAATGGGACTCGAACTCATAAATTAAAAATCCACAATTTTTTTCCTTAGCCTTTTGGATATATTTACCTATTATTGTATCTAAGTAGATTCGAACTACTGATATTTGTATAACGAGTCATGAGCTCGTCGCTATTGACCTCTAAGCGATAGATACATTATATATATAAAGGGACTCAAACCCTTAAAATTAATTTGGAAGATTAATATTTTATCAATTAAATTATATATATATAAGTAAATTATAAATTTAATAAATCAGTGTTAATGGCTCTATATAAAGATTTATTTATATTTATTTTAAGTTTTAAATCTTTATAACATATTGAATAGTTAAAAAAAGTATTATCGCTATATTTTAATATTTCTTTTAAATGTCTTCTATAACGAAACAATCTGTAAATTTTATTGTAAAGTGAAATTGATTTTAAATTCTTTATTAAATAATTATATATTAGAGTATTTATTATATGTTTAATATTTAAATTTATAATGTGTATTATATCAGAAGTTTTTAATATATAACTATAATTTTTTGTTATTTTGTTATTTAATAATATATGTCTATGAGATATATGTTGTCTAACACTGTTTAAAGTTAAGAATAAATTAGAATCCAAAATAATATTATCAACTCTAGACTTAAGTAATTTTAATAACTTTATAAGTTTATGGATATTAAATTCTAAGTATGTCTTTAATTTTTTATTCTTTAAATTGTACAGTAGTTTTAATATCTGTATGTGCTTAATAAGTTTATATATAGTAAATTTTTTATTAGATTTATAATATAGGTTAAACTTATTTGTGAATCCGTGTAAAGTGTATAAATTGAATTTTTTTAAAATTTTAATTTTATTAAATTTTATAGTCATGTTTTAAAATATTTTTAATATATGCCATACAAAGTAGAGCATAAATCTTCAGCTAATAAGGAGGTTCGAACTCTTATCCGACTAATTACAAATTAGCAATTTTACCTATTAAACTATATTAGCAATTATAATTTTAAAATAAAAATAATTAAAAATTTAAATTTATAAATATACAGCTAAATACATCTCTGTACTTACACTATATTTTATATTGTAATTATTTGTTTATAAATAATTTTTTATTTTTTTAAAACATATTTAAATGCACATTCTTGCTTATATTTTTTCAGCAATTATTTTCTACCTATATGTTGCTACCTAATAGAATACTTAATAAAAATTAAATAACTAGCACACAATTAATATAGTTCTTTTATTCCTCTCGTACTAAAAAGAATTATCGCAATGTTTTATTAATTTACACCGGATATGGACCAAACTGTCTTGCGACGTTCTGAACCCAGCTCACGTACCGCTTTATTGGGTGAACAAACCAACCCTTGAAACCTTATTCAGCTTCAGGATGCGATAAGCCGACATCGAGGTGCCAAACCTCCCCGTCAATATCAAATCTCTCGAGAGAGATCAGCCTGTTATCCCTAGAGTAACTTTTATTCGTTTATCGATAATACATCTATTAATTTTATTTATCGGATCATTAAGACCAACGTTAATTTCTGTATAATAAGTTTATTTAACAGTTAAGGTATTATTTTTCTTTAAAATTTTTTAATATCTTTATAGATATTAATTAAATACCCTTAGTTCTCCTCCGTTACCATTTAGGAGGACACCGCCCCAGTAAAACTATCAGATTTATAAATATTTAATTAAATATTTATATTTAACATTATTAATAATTTAATAACTATAAAAATGGTATTTCATTTATAAAAATAAATTAATATTTTGACCATATATTCTACATAAATAGTATATAAATTATACTTATAAATTATAGTAAAGCTTCATAGGGTCTTTCTGTCCTTGTGTAAATAGTCCGTATCTTCACAGACATTATTATTTCATTGAAATTTTCTTTAAGACAGCGCTCAAATCGTTACTCCTTTCATGCAGGTCGGAACTTACCCGACAAGGAATTTCGCTACCTTTGGACCGTTATGAATACAGCCGCCGTTTAACTAGAGCTTAAAAAAATATATAATAGTAATATTTCTTTTTAACTTACTAGAACTGGGCAGGAGTCAGTTCTTATACATCATTATTAAATTTAGCAAGAACCTGTGTTTTTGATAAACAGTCGTTTGAGCCTAGTATGTTATACTTTAAAAGCATTCTTTGTCCCTAAGTTACAGAATAATTTTGCCTAGTTCCTTAAAGAAAATTTATTCACCTCCTTAGTATATTTTCTACCTATTTACTTGTGTCAGATTTAATACGAATATAAATAAACATTTTAAATTGAATATTTCTAGTTAATTAGAACAATCTAATTAAAATTCAATATAAATTTAGTTTATTATAGTATAAGAATGTTAACTTATTATCCATCAAATAAACTTATTATTTATTTTTAGACTTCGACTAACCCTATTTGATTAATTCATTTAATAGGAAATCTATAAATATTCGGAGTATTAGATTATTTTCT